GAATTCAATAGCCAACCATATTTAAATGTAGTGGTTATACTAGTTTTAAAGCAATTATAACCAACTATATTCCAAGATAATCAACTATATTTTTCATTGAAATTTCTTGATCCTTTGACTGCTTTAAGAACTTGTCAGCTTTCCCAACAATGCTTCTTAAGTAAGTGATAATCAAACTCACCCTAAAAATAAAAGAAATTAAAGAGAGTGTAGTTACCAAGTTATAATTAATGACATGAATATTTTCATTAAAATATAGAAGCTACTCACCCAATGTCATCTCAAGGCTATAGTTATTGCTACTTATAATTCTATTTGGGTAATTAAAACTATCAAAATTTTATCTTAATTTGACTTAAAAAATAATTAATAATTAATAAAACATTTAATATTTATTATAGATTTAACATATTGAAATTAATTTATAAACAAATATTTCTAACTATAATGATTGATATCATCAAATATACAATCCACACATGTCATAATTTTAGTGGTTCACGTGGACTTAAATCATAGCTAAAGGATACTTGATATCATCTCAGGTACAATTGAGAAAATTAATGAAAAAAGGAACCAATCGAGTTGAGTTATACCTTAACTTTTTGTGATTTTTGAAAGAAGCATTTAAGACCTGAATAGTTAAGCTATTTAGAATGAAAACCAAGTGATATCTAACAGACCTAAGCTGGCTACCTAAGATTGGGATTTGATGACTAAAAACCAAAGGAATAAAGTACTTGTAGGACTTGCCATAAGTTATGACAAGCCCACACTTGGATGTGGGACATGTTTATATTAGCTCCTATAAAGGGCCCATTATCCCTTAACAAGTGGGCCACATCTAGTGTGTCCAACGTGGCACCTTTTCATTGGTCGTTGACTTCATCTATCAAGTCCAACCTCAACACATGTATGGATCTAATAGGTTTTTATCTACCAGCTAGACGCCACCTCGACACTATATAAGTAGGACTTGCACAAATCCTAAGGTAGAGATTAAAATTGCAAACTTCCTTTTCTCTCCTTTTTTTTTTCTCTTCTTTTCTGCCCAAAAACCTTCTTCATTAGAATTTGATATGACTTGAGTATCAAAGGGCGTATGTCTAAGAAACTTTTGGTGCCTACCTTAACAAGCTTGTTCTTTTGTGCCCATGCAGGTACAACTTTCTATTCGACCAAGCTAGCAGCTTTCTAGAGAAGCACAAAATCCAACATCAATAACCAAGTTTTTAAGAGAAAAATTATAAATTGATAAAATTACAGATAAAAGTGATAGCTTTAACAAAATTAGTAGTGACCATAATCTCACCCTTATCTCTAGGGTAATAACAAAAAAAGTGTTGGGTTGTTTGCAAGTCCCTTTGATTGGAGTGTCATCTGTGATTCAAGTGGAGACATTTGCTATTCTATATGGTTTACAATTTTGCTGCTGCATTGGGTATAGGAAGTTGATTATAGATAGTGATTCTTTGCTAGCTTCGTAGTATTGCACAACCAGGACTTCTTTTTTTCGCTGTGGGAGATTATTATTGTTGCATTGGGGCTTGACAATGTCCACTATGTTCATGTAAAGTGGGATGCTAATATGATCCTCCATATGCTAGTGCAATGTGCAACAGAACTTTCTCAAGAACAACAATGGATTTCCTCTTACCTTGCGAGTGTTTTTGATATGCTCGTCTCAGATTTGAGTTGACGAGTGTTGTATTTGTTTTATCCTAGTTGAATGAAATCACATATAGATGTTCATATATATAATAATAATAATAATAATAATAATTTTGTCTATAATAACAACTTGCTGTTAACTCCCACCTTACCAATTACCAAACCTATTTTAAACCAAAACCGTATATAAATCAAGAATGATATAAGTACAATATCATATAAGATTGTTAATTTACAGTCTTGTTATGTGTTTATATGAGTGTGTATATATATAATATTATAAGTGAATTTTAAAATTAAAAAAATTAATTATTTAATAATATATCATAACTGTAGGTTTAAATTATCATGTAACATTACAACTATATGACTTTCAAATATAAATAAGTTCTAGTCATTTAGTTTCGTTTTGGATTTTTCTATTTGTGTCTTAAAATACACGTTAAAAATGATATTAATGTATATAAGATTGTAAACTTACAATTATATGCATATGTTACTTATGGCATATGACTATAGACACAAAAAATTTCCCGAATGTTGGATTACATCTTACTTTAAGATTTGATCATGGTCACATATGATCCGGCACTAGATAGAAGCCAACAAGCAAGACACATGGCAAAATTACAAAGTAATGTGCCTCATTAAAATAAAAATAAATTAAAACACATAACTAAATGAAATGATGTGTGTTTTATTTAAATTAAAAATATAATTGAAATACGTGACAAAATCTTGTGAATTGATTAAGACATATAAGGAATATTCTTGATAAGATGCCACCCTCATTTGCCTATAAATAGAATCATTCTCCATTAAGGACAAGAGCTTTTCCCCAAGAGAAGCACAAGCACAAACACTTCATTGCAGTTACTTCTCAAATTTCAAAGAAGACT